CTGATGTAAATGATGAGTTGATGGGTGCTGACGAGTTGATGGGTGCAGCACACCAACATGGCACATGTATACATATGTAACAAACCTGCACATTGTGGACATGTACCCTAGAACTTAAAGTATAAAAAAAAAAAAAGAAGTACATAGTAAGCATAAAAGGTCAGCAAAGTAAGACTGATTAAAGAAGGAGGAGAACCAGAAGAGTGGAGTGTTAAGTAGACAAAATTAACTAAGTACTATTCACTGATGACTGACAAAGAATAAATGATATTATAGGTCATTTATTAGTTATGTTTAAAGACAAAAAGAATAGTATCAGTGGATTCAAGAAGTACCACAAGAAAGAAGTGATAGCAGGAATGCAATTATTGATGAGAATGAAAGTATATAAAAACAGATGAACAAGAAGTCCTAGTGATTCTAATGTCCCCTCTAGTGAGATACCCTAGAACACACAGAAGATAATTCTCACAAACAAAATTAGGTGTATCAAAATAACGATCAAGGAAGAAGGAAAAAAAAAATGTTATTAATGTAGGGCTGAGAGTCAGGCAGCAAATTATTTTAAAACTTAACCTTATATGAAATATAAATTTTAACATTTTACAAAATCATGTATTTCTACAGTATGGTTGCAAGTAAGTAAAAAACACATTAAAAATGAACAGTACATGCCAAAAGTTAACAGATAGATTCTGAATAAAAAAAAAAAATTTCCATATTACCCAACTTTCAAACAATAAATTACCTTTACTTAAAAAGATTAACTGGAATAATAAAGTCATTTTCTCCAAAAACTTCTAATCATGAGTGCTAAAAACCACAAAACATCTTTTCCCTCTTTTATTATACTCTAAATAGAGGAGGGGGTTCAGGACACGTATCCCAAAATGGGGTATCTTGGTGTATTGAATATTTTAAGCTGTAGGAATTTGAGAAACAACATGTACAAGAAGAATTTTTTTTGGCCTTCCCCTGAAGCAAGTCATAGCATGCTCATGTGAGAGGTGCCCTCCCTACACCTAAAGAATGGAGCATCTTTATCTCCATAGACACAGAGTGGAATTTGAATGAACAGGCTTTGCTAAATTTCCCCCAATTTATTGCACTTAGTTCACATCCCCTTTGTCCTATTATATTTCTCCATGACTTTTCCATCTTCATCACACCTGGCATAAAAACATTCAGGCTTAACCATTTCTTTGGGTCTTCATTTCCTTATATAGGCTGCCATGTCACATAAAACATATTAAATACATTTGTATGCTTTTCTCTTGTTAATACATTTTGTTACAGAAGTCCCAGTTAATGAACCTAAGATGAGTAGAAGGAAAAGATATTTTTCCTAACCTTACAGAAGTTTAACCACCAGATTATCAATGATTGAATATTTAAGAATATAAAAAGCATATTATAAGCATACCAATAAAAGTATATCTGTAATAGTTATAAGAGGCCTAAAGCAACCCAAAGATTCAAGCATTTCGTTCCTCTGCCAGAAGTCACCAGAATCAATGAAGACAAATTCTGTGCACCTGACAAAAAGAAACTATCCTTCTACAAATAGGACTTGTTTAAATTTATCATGCCTATGGCTAATAATGATGATACCCTGTTGAGAACTGAGATCACAATTTAGTTATCATCATCTAAACTTTAGTAAAACAAAATTTAAATTTAGTCTTAAGTAAACAATTGCTAAATTTACTGACAATGATAGGGAATTACCAGTTGGTTTGAAATTAACACCTTCATCCATCTTTATTAAGTCCAGGGATGATAAATCATTCAGATTCTTCAAACATAATTCTGTTTAATTATAGAAAACACATTTTAATTTTAGTAAA